GGGGGGGGGGGGGGGGGCCTCATGTAAAATTATGAAAATTTCGATACTTTTTTTGCTTTAAAATGTTATAAATTCAATGTATTAATGTTTATAGAAAAGTTATAGATCGATATTTAATGTGGTTCTGGAAATGTAGCCCAAAGCGCATACCTACCTCTCCGGCCGCACTGCTTAGCAGCGCGGCTGCCTTAGTTACAAGCGCTAGAGGCGAAGCACCGATTTATTTATCCCTACTATTGTCATTTTTGAAAATTTCTCGCCGCGTTCAGTTACTCTGTAGTGTCTTATAGTACAACACGCTTTTGAAATGCAATCGTATCCGAATGGAAAGATTGGTGATACAACTCAAGCTGCTAGGCTACGTAAAAGCCGAAATTTTTAACGCGTTTTTCTCGAAATAGCATTTTTTGATTTTACGAGCAGGATATCTAAAAAAAATACTTGTTCCACTGTGCTCCGATTTTTGTACATCTATAAATTAGAAATACCTTCTATTTGAACCTACACATTTTGAAGTATTATGTAAAAAAAACTTAAACAAAAAAATATATAAAGTTCGACATTTTTTCCGAAAAAACAATGTTTTTTTCGTAACTTCAAATTTATTATAATTTTTCAATAGTTTTCACATTTTATAGGTGTAACTATGAATTATGCTTCCTATGAACAAGTTATTTTCTCCCGAATGTCCCAGGATGCATCGTAAGGTCACTAGATTGCCTATAAATTGAGCATCTCTGCTTCGACACGTTTCACAACAACGCTAATATCTCCGCGACTTTGTTTTTTAAAAATTTAAAAAAAAATTTTTTTCAACAGCGGAGCGAAAACGGGCAATTTTCGAATGGGGAAACGTGGAAGATTGAAAAATTGAATAGGAGTGAGGTGACATTTGCCGACGAATCCAACGACCAGCTAACACCGGGGCAATTGTTTTTTTCACGTAAGCTGTACGATGCACAGATGTTTCATTGTGATTTCCTAAGTTACCAAACTAACCTGCTTATTTGCACCGACCCAAGAATCACCCACTAAGCGAAAACTCGCGTTCGCTCCGCTGTCGAAGAAAATAGTATGTGAACCGCGAGAGAAAACGTGCGTTTGTGCCTTGTATAAAGTCGAGAACCCCTCGGCTTCGCCTCGGGGACCTCAACTTTATACGCGGAGCAGAAACGCCCGTTTCCGCTCTCGGTGCACAATATACTATTAAGCGCTCAAAAAATTGTTGTTTAAAACTTTCATACTAAGATTATTTCTAATATGAAATTTATTTAAAAACAAAAATCATGAAAATTGCCTTTTTTCAGCTTTTTACACGAGGTTCCCCCTTTAATACACAATAATTAATAACGCGTTAGGTGATTCCACATGAAATAATACTTGGCAGGTCCATACCTTACTTAAAATAAATGAAACTTTAGTATGCTTTCTGAAATTCACTGACAGACGGTAAAAATGGTATCATGTCCCTCATATGCATCTATACATATATGTATAACGATATATAATAAAGTTTGCAATATTAGCAACGAATACGTTATAAGGAATCAACTAAAGTTTTATTAATTGTTAAATGACTATTAAATCATAATTAAATACGAGAAGCAGTAGTAATATTAAAGAGTAACGAGGACATTATTGGAAATTTTGAAAATATAATTAAAATGATGGGCTAATGCTAGATCATACAATAAGCAGATATGTAGTGAATTATGTATTTGGCATTAATACTATAATTTCAATACTTTTTACTAGAGGAATTTACAGCACTCCTCTACTTGGCATAGTTTTTTACACGTCAGTGTTTTTTGGGGGGATTACGTATAAAGGACAGGTGTCGTTCTAACGTACACACCTACGTGTATTCAAACATTTATGAAATCAAAAAAGAAAATGAAAGCATGAAACGAAAAAGATAAAGAGACTAACTTTTGCGGGACGAATGATAAGAGCATATCTCCAAATATTATTTTCACTCACTCTGTCTTTCTCTGTTTTGATATTTCAACCACTCTCAAAATTACGCTCAATTCAGTACTATATATCTATATCCAGCATCAGTGTGATGTAATCACCTGTCCCATTGTACCAATTAAGTTAAAATATTACTCTAATAATATGTTCGAGAAAGTAATAAAAATGTTATAGTATTTATTATTGAGTCTATTTTACTAATCCGTGAGCACTGATCACAATTCGCCGTAAATTCACACCCACCCGTATTCCACGGTGACACGAGAGATACTGGCACTTTTCTGCTATGCGTTTAGCTCTAGCTTTTGAAAGAATATATCCAGTCATATTTGTGCTGACTCACGATGATCTGCAATCTATCTCTACTCGATTAAGGCTTACTGCATCAATCCATAAAATGATTAACTTTTATGAAGTTTAATTGACCTTATTTGTTAACTATGAAACAAAAACATTAAAATAGGATTTCGATAACCACTGTAATTACTATGAGATTTAGTTTCGATTTAGTTTCATGATTTCCCTTGAACGCATAGTAACGCAACGATAGTGGGTAAATACAATGTATGAACATTGTATGTGCGTCATCTACATTCTGCGCCGTAACTCTCTGGAACGTATTTTTTATGTATATATATAACGCTCATAACAAACGACTGTTAGTACTCACGAAGCGATTAAACTACACAACAAATGTACATTCCGATATGACGTTATTTTTTACAACATTAATTATACTATTAACTTCGTTGTTATAATATTCTACTATTAACCTATAATAATATATACTAACGCAGCAAACACACAAGAACGGCTCACGCAACTGTTACTAGTCGTTGATAGATGCAATGGGCCAGTAAGTGCCTATCACTGGCCCGACCTTATGTGTCTGTTGGGAAGGTTATTCCAAGTGAAGGCTGCTGTTTAAATTAATTAATTAAACATGGTGTTATCCTATTTCTTTATTGAATGAGAAGTGCCCAAGTACTAATGTTTCTAGGCGCAACAATAATAAAAAAAAACAGAGGAGATTGTTGATGTTCATACTTTTCTTGCTTGCAATTCATCATTCTGTGTACACGTATCATATTTCTACACGGTGGAAATGACTAAATGATTACAGCAATATAAATGTATCATGCTGATATATACAAAAGCTAGGTTTATTACCTTGAACGTAAATGAGGTTTCATTGTATAACATGCATTAATGCTAGATACAATGAGACAAATAAATAAATTTATCGTTATAGGTAATTGTGCATCGATACCGAGTTGTATAGGGTGTTAAACGTAATGCGTTTGAAGAAAAACAATTTTTGAACAACAATTCAAAGAAACATCAGGTTCACATCACATTTAAGGTTACATTATCATTCATAATGAAAACTTTAAAGTAATAGTCATGGTAGGTGAATTTCATTTTCAAAACGAAAATCAAAGTTTCATCGAAGACAATGAAAACGCGACTTTCTCTATTATTTGAATTTTCTTGAGTTTTCAAACAAAAAAATGTTAGTTTGCTGAGAATCTTATCTGTAATCGGTGTTAGCAGAAGATAAAAATGAACATCACCTCACCTTTAATCGAGACCTATGTACCAAGCAATTACAGTATAGCATAATGAATCCCCCAAAAAACACTTACGTGTAAAAAACTACGCCAAGTACAGGAGTGCAGTGTATTCCTCTAATATAGAGTATTGATATCAGATTATTGAGGCCAAGTACATAAGTCACTACATGTTTGCCTGTTATATGATCTAGCACTGGCCCATCATTTTAATTGTATTTTCAAAATTTCTTATAACGTTTTCACTACTCTTTTACATTACTACTGCTTCCCGTAGTCGATTATGATTTAATGGTCATTTAATAATTAATAAAACTTTAGCAGATTCCTTATCGAGTACTACTTGGCGGGTCTACTTGTAGAAATATCATCTGCGAAAGAGTTTGTCGGGTTTTATTTGTCATGATGATTTTCAAAATATTATCTACGTTCACAAGAGGTTTACAAGACTTGGGGCCTCTACAATCTACAATATCAACTGTAAATAATACTGATCCGTTCTTGCTTAAGTTAAATAACAGCTATCTTTTGTGTTTGTTTCCATGCAAAACAGAAGTATGGTTCCAGTATTACAACAGTGTTCAATTTTTTTTCAATGTGAACAGAAAAGTATGTTAGATATGAGATTACCTAGTGTAATTTTTATTTGTTAGGTTAGGTTAGCAATTTTGTGTGCAATAAACGGTTAACCGTTTCTTCTTTTAGATTCTTTTACTCCATACGTATATTGATTACATATAGAAAAGTATTTGGTAGACAGGCGCTAGTCGAAATTCTTACCTGCTTTTTATTTTAATAAATACACTTTTTTCTATATTAATTCAACACTAATGTCATACAGCGTGTATCCACTGTACAAT